TAACATTATTATTCTTATTATTCTTATTATCTTATTAAATAAACATTGATTCACATTAACATTGTTATTAATAACATTCAATTATAATTTTAAATCAAATAATATAATTATTTATGATGAAAATAAATTAGAATAAAAGAATCTAATTAAATTTATTTTGATTCTTCAATAATATTCATCATCTCTCTTGTTAATAAACTTATGAATTCTTGTATTTTTATAAGTTAATAAATAATATGTTTATATTAACTAAATACAATGACAACAATAAAATATTCATATTTTTCATTATTTGAATACATTATTTCATTTATTTATTTCATTCTGAACATCATTTACATTATTCTTGATATCATAATTAATTAATATAAAATATAAATCAATATAATGACATTTCATGATTTAATATTTGAATAATATTCTATAATAAATCATGTATGAAACAATAAAAATACAATAAATTCATTATCAAAACAAGAATATAATAATATCATATTTATTCATTGAATACAATTTTGAATATTGAATCATTAAAATGAAATATTTATTCAATTTATATTATTCTCTCTTTTTTAAATAATCTTTATTATATTTCATTTCAATTTCATGTTTATTCATTTGTGAATGAAAATATAAATGAAATATATTATGAAATTAAATTATAAATATAAAGAAATGACAAATATGATAGAATAAATAAAGATAAATAAGAAATACAGAAATTTGTAATAAAAATAACAATTAATAGATATATCCACAATTGGATTTTATGAATATTGAGAAGTGATTATTTCAATGATTTTAATATCTTCTATTTCTATAATAAAGTTTATTTCTAACATATGAGAATTAGAATGTTCATCTTCTAATGTGTTGCCAGTGTTGAATATGTAAAATATTAAGTATTTCATGATTTTAATAATGATTGTTTGTAGTATTTTATTGAAGTCAATTTGTAATTTTAGTGTTTTTAATCTTCTTACTGTTTCTTTATGTATTAATTTATTGTTAATATTACAAGTATTATTTCTACATAAGTTAATTCTCTATTTTGTATTAACTTTTCTTGTAATTCTTTGTATTTATTTAATTTGTAAATATAATTTAATTCATTATTTCTATCTTGACATATATCAACATCATTAATATATCATTTTTATCTTTGATGATTTGATAATATATATCTGATATTCTAACATTAAAAGAATTGTCATTAATAAATAAATCAATAATTTAATGTAAGATTATATTAATATTAATATACATTTATGATATATATTAAAATCAAATTTCATTAAATTTAATAAAATATGTAATTAATATATGTTTATATATTTGATTACATATATATTCATATTTTAATATTTGATTATTATTCATTATTTTATTTATTTATTTTGATTTATATTTTATTATTTATATTATTTATTTTATTCATGTATTTGATATTTATATTTTAAATATATTCTTATTATTTAATTATTTCATTTCATATTAATATTATTCATATTCATATTTCATTTAATTTAACTTATAATTTAATTTTATTGATATTTATATTATATAAATACAAATAGATTAATAAAATTGATATTTATTTATCTATAATATCAAATTCATTTAATTTATATTTAATAATAGAAAATCATAAGATAAAATATAGAATATAAGAATAATAAACAATAACAAAATAATAATAAAGATATAAAAGATAATAAATAAATAAGATAAAATAGAAGATATAAGAATTAATAAACATATACAATAAATAATAATAAATATTTTAACACAATAAAAAAGAATAATATCAAAAAGAATAAACAAGAAAAGAATAATAATATAAATGATAATCAATTATAATTTATTTCTACTTTAATTTATATTGTATTTCATTTATTGTATTTTTATTTCATTCAATAGAATTTAAAGCAATTTCTTGGTATTGTTTCATTTTTCATTAATTCTTCTTTACATCCACATTCATAAAAACATCCATCTCCAAATTTAGTAATTGATGATGGTATATTCATAGATGTTAATGATGAACAATATCCAAAACAACAATATCCTATTTCATTAATTGATGATGGTAAATTAATTGATGTTAATGAATAGCATCCTTTAAAACAATCATATCCTAATTCACTAATACTCGTTGGTATAATAATTGATGTTAATGATGTACATTCATAAAAACACCAATTTCCTATTTCACTAATTGAAGATGGTACATTAATTGATTTTAATGATATACATTCATCAAAACAACTATCTCCTATTTCACTAATTGATGATGGTATAGTTATAGATGTTAGTGTTGAACATCCAGAAAAACAATATTCTCCTAACTTAGTAATTGAAGATGGAATAATAAATTCATTAATATCTTTCTTGAAAATATTCTTTCCATTGATTATTTGTAGATTTTCTGGTATTTTAATACTAATTAACACTGGTTCATTCATAAATATTCTTTCTTTACTTACAAATTGTAGATTGTCTACACTCACCGATGTTATTGATGAACATTCACAAAAACACCAATTTCCTAATTTACTAACAGATGATGGTATATTAATAGATGTTAATGATGTACATTGATAAAAACATGCATCTCCAAATTTACTAATTGATGATGGAATATTAATTGATGTTAATGATGAACATTCATAAAAACATTCATATCCTAATTCACTAATTGATGATGGAATAATAAATTCATTAATATCTTTCTTGAAAATATTCTTTCCATTGATTATTTGTAGATTATCAGGTATTGAAATACTAACTAACACTGGTTCATTCATAAATATTCTTTCTTTACTTACAAATTGTAGATTATCTATATTCATAGATGTTAATGATGAACATCCATTAAAACAATCATCTCCTATTGATATAACAGATGATGGTATATTAATTGATTTTAATGAATAACATTCTCTAAAACAATAATCTCCTATTTCACTGACAGATGATGGTATATTAATTGTTGTTAATTTATCACAATAACTAAAACAATTATATCCAAGTGATTTAACTTCTGATGGTATTGTAGTTCCATATTTATTTCTATCATATTGTGTATATATTATATTTTTATATATATTTCTTTTTTCTTTCTCTTGTAAATATTTTGAATATTCTACTAAATACCATATTACATATTTAAATATTTTTCCATCATTAAATATTTCATCATTTTCATTATAAATATGAAATGTTTCAATATTATGAAACAATTTTCTTGAATATTCATTTAATGGAATTGGATTAAAATGAAATCGTTCCATATTTCCTTGAAATCTTTTAATTCCTATTTCTAAATTAATAAAATCTTCAATATCATTAAAGTACATTGATGTTATCATTATTTCATTATATCCTAATTTCATTATTGATTTATTATTTATTAGTTGTTTTTATTAGTTCTTTTATTTTTATATTTTAATTTCTTCTTTTTTATTATTTTATCATCATTCTATTTTTATTAATTGATATTTGTTATGAAAAACAATAAATAATAAGAAATAAAATAAAATGTTATTTATTTTTATT